ATTAATAAAAATTAGAAAATCTTTTCACCAGTGTTTTTCAATTCATTTGCTGTCAAAATAGTCAATTCCAAGTGATTTATTCACTGGAATTTTATGCGGAAGTTGTTATAGAAAAAAAAAAGATTAATTGATATTTTTTAACAATGCCAAATGCAGCAAAAAATATATTCATATTATTCGTTCAAAAATTCAAATTTTGGCACGTTGACTGACGTAACGATACCCCCACTCTGACCCAAGTCTCGTGGTCTCGCCCCTCGGACTACTTGCAATACAATACAATAGGAGCCATTCTTTGATAGCCATTGGCCTAATTGGGGTTGGGAGCTAGGTGAGCCCATTGAGCGCACTTTGCCCATGCCATTGTCTAGTTCAGACATGGGCAATCTCCAGGTAGCTCGGAGCAGAGGAATAAAGTCGAATTCGAAATCCAATAAAGTTTACAACCATTTCAATAATAAGGGTATTAGTACTAGCATAGTGGAGGCAGTAGTGGGGGCTTCATAGGTACTAAGGTGGGGAGTATCCCATGAAGCATCTGGCAAGAATTTATCCCCCGGAAGGGTAAAGCTTGTCGCGCATTTGATTATTTTTTAATGCACACATGAAAAAAAAATTGAAATTTTTCTCATCGACTTATTTCTCTGCTTTTCCTTTACTTGAGTCTCATTTCTCCTCTTTTCCTTTTCTTAAGCGTCACCCCCACTTCGGTTGATCTCAGCGGAGGAGAAGGGCCTTTACGACCTGGGTCATAAAGGCCCATCACCCGATACAATGGGCTTTCGTCTACCCTTTGTTACGCACTAATAGAGGTCGGAAGCCCGACTTGCTCTCAGAGCAGAGTTTGCCCAGCCCTGGTCTAGCTCAGGCATAGGCAACCACCAGGTAGCTCGGAGCAAAGTCATAAACTCGAATTAGAAGTCCAATAAAGTTTAGAACCGTGCCAATTATAAGGGTCCTAGTACGATCATAGTGAGGAGCCTAGTAGGGGGCTTCACAGTTACAGTATCGAGGAACATCCCATGAAGCGTCTGCCAAATAGGGAAATGAGAAATATAGCCGCCACGACTAATAAAAAAAAATTAAAAAATCCAAACCTGGACAAAAATATTTTTGAAGCGGATCATGTGTGGATTCGTTAAAAATCATAGGCATGTTCTGTTGAAACCTAAATTCAATTTGGAAGAAGAAAATGATTGATTTTGTCATCTATGTGAATTAATTAAATTCTGCGAAGTTAGTTCTTCTTTTTAAATATATTTTTGTCCACTCTTGGCCAGCATTTTTCAATGCTGTTCAGTAGAAGTCACTGAACGGTGCCGAAGGGCAATATTAATTGAAAGGGACATGTCAAGTTTATTGAAAAATAATTTTTCAAATACCTACCAAACCCTCTACTGGATTGACTGAAAGTTATAAGCAACGCTACATTCTCCTTTTATTATTTTTTAGTAAACTTGGCCGAGCCCTTCAATTGATATCGGTCTTTAGTGCCTTCCAAAATTTTTCCTTCATTTTTCCATTATTTTATTTCAAATTTTAGTGCATTTTAGGCTAAAAATATGAAATTTAAATTAAAGATAACATTCTATAGATAGTCCATCAGTGTTAATCAATTCTATTTCTTGAATAAATGATTGCAGAAGCACTGGAACATGACGTTGTCAAATCTGTTCGTCGCCTCTGATATTGATCAAGCTTTTTCTTGACATGTCATTTGCAACGATAGTTTTCAAAGTATATAAAAACGTGATGGGAATGAAAAAGGCAAATTTTCCATTTCCAACTTGCGAAAATTCGAAATTTTCTCTGACCTCTGTCACGTGAATTCGAGAGTATTACATATTTTCATCCTCTTCTTCTGCGGAAAATTGATACTCCGATAAGTCGTCGTTGAGTGAAAGGGGGCTTTCTTCCTCGCTGTTATCGGCGCTTGCTGGTGGCTCCGATGCGTTCACGTTAACGTTAATCCGTTGCTCATTGTTCTGGCCGAGGTCATTGTCTGCATCAGCTGATCTTGGTGCTACGTCAAGGTCTCCAGCTGGCATGTGTATGGGTTCTTGGGTAGGGTCGAATATGTTTCCAGATTCGCTTCCGGGGTCGGAAGGTAGATGTGTATATTCTGTGTCCTCCCTGGCCCGTGGAGGTTGTGTGTTTCTTCTGGGTCTTTTCCGAAAAATTTCCTCCTAAAATGTATTTACAGAATCGTAGTCGGTAATTATTATTTTCTTTTCAAATATGGAAACTCTAAATTTGAAAAGTGAAAAGTTGCCACTGTCGACTTAGGAATATACTCCTGGAAATCCCATTGCAGATTTTCATATTACATTTTGAATTTTGCTAATCTTGCAACGTCCAAGTGAGAAATGAATTTTTTTATTCATAACATGAGAAAATAAATTTGCTTTTGAAATCGCCCGAATATTGTTCATCCTTCCAAACTCCGTTCGAATATGACATTTTATTCCAATATATCAAAAACTGAAAGTGTTGGATTCTGGATTTTCATTTGAAAAATGCAGATGTATATTTCAGATGCTCCGATAGCTAAATAAAGTAAAAAATTAGTAATTTAATTTTGTTAATGAAAATAAAGCAGCCTCTTTCAACGATGACTATTTATCTACGAATCATTTGCTTCACATGACTGAATAAAGTTATTGCTCAATCAGAATTGTCGACAAATATTGTATTTTATTTAATGAATTCCGGAAAATATCATCTAAACACAAAATAATTGTCAAGGGTGACTTTTCATCATGAAAGCATTAAAAAAAAATTCGCCTAATATTGCTGTCTGTTTCCAGTGACAAGTGGATATTTATAATTCAAATTTATGAAAAATTGAAAATTACTACTCGATCGGACAGTCGCCCTCTGCCGTCATCGGTCGAACCGAGACTCACGGAGAGAGAAAAATCGAATTAGAGGAGGCAGTTTCTCTAAGTGGATGAGGCCCCTCTCCAAGCTTTCACTAACGAAGCTCGGGAGCCGCGTGAACCCGATGAGCCCAGGTTGCCGGACCCTAGTCTAGTTACTGGAATTTGAAAGCTTAAAAACTTGAAAGCTGTCGTTACTAATCAAATGTCAAGAAAAAACCTGTTTAATTTCAGAGGCGACGAACAAATTTGAGAAAGTCATCTTCCAGTCCTTCCGCAATTTTGTTTAAATTTCATCTTTTTAGTCTAAAATGCACTAAAATTTGAAATAAAATAGTGAAAAAATAGAGTAAAAATAATTGAAGGATGCTAAAGACCGATATCAATTAAAAGGATCTGCTAAGTTTACTAAAAAATAATAAAAGGACAACGTAGCATTGCTTATAGCTTTCACTCAATCCAGTAGAGGGTTTGGTAGGTATTTTTAAAATTATTTTTTAATAAACTTGGCAGATCCCTGTTTTTATATATTATATTATTTTATAATTAATATTGCCCTTCAGCACCGTTCAATGATTTCCATTGAACAGCATCGAAAACTGCTGGCCAAGAGTGAGCAAAAATTATATTTAAAAAAAAGAACTAACTTCGCAGAATTTAATTCATTCACATAGATGACAAAATCAATCATTTTCTTCTTCCAAATTCAATTCAGGTTTCAACAGAACATGTCTAAGAATTTCAACGAATCCACACATAATTCCTATTCAGAAAACATTTTTGTCCCCGTTTGGATTTTTTAATTTTTTTTTCTTAATCGTGGCGGCTATTCTTCTGACTTTACTATTTGGCAGACGCTTCATGGGACGTTCTTCAATATTGTAACTGTGAGGCCCGCCACTAGACTCCCCACTATGATTTTACTAGGACCCTTATAATTGACATGGTTATAAACTTTATTGGATTTCGAATTCGAGTTTATGACTCTACTCCGAGCTACCTGGTGGTTGCCCATGCCTGTACTAGACAACCGAAAATCTAATCCCATCCCTACGTGGCGCCTGCGCTATCCTCTTCAGGGCCGTATCTTCGAACGATAAACCCAAGCCTTGTTTTTAGGAAGAAATAACATGAATACGGCCTTGGAATGAGAAAAAATCCTTTCGCTCGATCGAGAAGAAAAATAAAAATAGTAATCGAGGGAAATGCGTGCCACTTTGAGCATAATTGACGGTATTCAGTTCTCGTCGCTGAATCTGGTATTTGGGTTGTGAGCATATCAGCAATGACGTACAGTGTCCTCAGAGTATCTCAATTTGTAGTAATCACCCTCCTAGTCGCATGTATCATCACTGATTCGTGTAAAACTAGCAAATTCAAATCAAAAATGACTGTTGTAAATTCATCAGCTGACATCCAAGGTCTCCTAGACATCGAGACACCTGTTGGGGCCAGACTCTCGGGAAAATATCGCAAGTAATGAGCAGATGCTAAGTTCTACACCTCTTCCTCTTTTCGTTTCTAACCTTGACGTCGTCTGACCACTCGGGGGATTATCTACTACCGCATTAAATTTTTTATGTCATTTTTCCAGGAGCTTTGGGTATAAAACCATGAAGGATAGAGCTCCAGTGATATTAACTAAAGTTATAGACACAATGAGCAGAAATAAGGAATCAATCATCAACAAGTACGGAGAGGTGAGAGAGTTAATAGAGAATTGCTGGGGTTTTGGATTTTTTAATTATTGTAATTGAAAAACGTTCGAAGGAAGCGTCTGCGGAATTGAAACAAGTCATGGGGAATATCAGCCAATTGAGGAGTGAATTAATGACCAATAAACCATTGCAACTGTTAATTTTATCGGACAGCGAGAAAGACGGAGATGCAAGACTCTGGAATGATCGCATTCGTGATAAGGCAATTAACGATTCGTCACCAGTTACGTGGTTTGAGACCGATTGGCTACTCTGCGAGACATACATGTATAGAAGATTACGGCAGATTTACGCATTGACGTAAGGTTATTTGTTCTATCGCGAAACAATGATTATGATTTTTTGTAACTATTACGATATAAGCATCTGATTTTTAAACTTTTTTTAAACAGGTTGAAAATAAAATTTTGGTGCCAAAGGAATCACAATTACGCTAATGATGAATTAAAATCGATCGAATCGCGATCCGAATATATTGCGGCACCTGATTTCCGAATTAATTATTAGCTCAACTTTGTTATTTTTCCTATCATTGATTATTTGATCGAATAAATTACAGGCAAAATTTATCATCACTGGATTGTTTCGAGGAGCAAAAGGAGTACGCATTTACCAGTGCATTGAACTCGATATCAGCGCTCGCTAAATATACACTGGACCTCGCAAATAAAACTGACAATCACATCAGTAGTGCAAACAAAGAAGATTTTATAGCATTGATGAAGTTGAATCTCTGGGGTAATAGGTGAGATAATCGCAATTCCCATTTGAAAAGACAGGTTGCAGTAGGGAATAATTTCAGATGTGACCTGTCACACAGTGGTGGCGTCGCAGTTAATGCCTCTCAACATTGTGCACCAATGGACAGATTGTCGATGATTGACCCCAATCTATTAATTGACAATACCTCGTCCGTCTGGGATCTGCTTACTAAGGCGGCCACCGGCAGGGATGTAATTATCGATGTGGTACTAGATAATGCTGGATATGAATTATTCACCGACCTGTCTCTTGCTTTATTTGTGACACGTCATAAACTCGCTACTAAAATTCGATTCTACGTGAAGAATCATCCCTGGTACATAAGCGATGTAACAGCGAAGGATTGTCGATGGACGATTGAATCCATGAAAAATTCAACAAATTCCAAACTTCAAGAATTCGGAAAGATCTGTGGAGATTATTTCGATAGTGGCACCTGGACTATCGAGGTAATTATTTTGAATTATTCTGGGTCGAATATGTATTATTTTGTAGCGATGGAATTCTTATTGTGTAAAACACGCATTTCTATTCTATTGATACGAAATTACCACATAAATTTCCAGAAATTGAATTAGCTAATAGCTCATTTTTCGAGAAGTACGTCTGCCTCTAAGGAAGATAACGAAATTAGTATGAAGACAGTGCGATTTTTTTTTGCAATCAGTTTCACTCTGCAAGAGATGTCCTAAGAAAGACTCGACTGAAGAATATGTGTACCTCGTTTGGAATATGTGTTCCTCTCTATCTCTTCGTTGTCTTTTAAATGAATGTTTATTTTTTTAGGATGAACCGTTCTGGACATCTCCCTACGATTTCTCACAAATGAAGATTAAGGCACCCGATTTATATTCAAAACTATCTGAAGCGAAACTAATAATCTTCAAGGGTGATTTAAATTATAGAAAACTCATGGGAGATATAAACTGGGAACATACAACAGATCTGGTGACCGCACTCAGGGGATTCAGACCGAGTAATTTGGTCACTCTAAGAACCTTGAAAGCCGATGTATGTGTGGGTTTATTGCCCGGGAAAGCAGATGACTTGTGTAGCCAACATGGAGGTAATGACTGGTTAGTAAGTGGTCAATACGGCGTGATTCATGCATCAATCGATGCTCAAGTGGATTAAATGCCAAAGCAGCCAGCAAATCCAGCTCAATGTCTTCTGAATTACTATCGAATCACTAATTCCAATAATTTTCAGCAATTATCCAATCTTACAATGCAGATTTGTAGCCTGCAAACCATACATTTTTGGCAAATAATTTGTACAATAAACTCCCGTTAGGTCACGTGCATGCTCATCACTATTCACCATTTTTATTTAATTAATAGCATTTATTTCATCTCACTTAATCATAATACAATTTCTAGTGATGATTCATATTAAGTAACTATTTCAATGTAAATATACGATAATATTTTTTCTCTATGACTGTACAATCATCTATATTTTTCATACTTCAAAAATAATCAGAAAACATTTCTCACACTTTTCGACAAGAATTCTCAAATGGTGGTCCAACAAAATAATAAATCAATTGAAATAAAAACCGAGAAAACAGTAAAATGTAAAATATTGTAATTCTCAATTATTAAATTCGTGAATTCAATGGTTCCGTTTACTCGAATTCAAAATCATCCACGTCACATACCTTTATACAACAAAATTCATAAACATCATGAATCTTCGTTCGATCCTCAACGAGGGATAATAGATTTTCATTACTCACACTATCATGAATCATGTTCACGACTCTGTCTATGATTATTATATCATTAGATTGGTATTCATTAAATTAAATCATGTGTGCCAAAGTGACAATATGATTATTAATGGATGCTGTATTTCGAATTAAAGAGCAAGATCTAAAATAATGCACCAAAGATTCTCCATTTATTGCGCATAATATTATCCATCTCTTAATTTACTGGAATGATAATCAATCAGAGCGATAACCTGGAAATAGACACCATTAATAATCACTCACATAGTCACACAGAGGAAATCGAAACTGGAAACGTTTTTTTCTGAAGTGTTATCAGCCTTACGTTTAACCTACAATATACGAAGAAATCATGGCATGTAACGACGTACAAAGCCTCGATGAAATGTTAAACGTTAATACGTTATATATTGTAGGATTACAACCACTCCGTTAGCATACCCCTTTTGAACCATCATAGTCATTTCGTCAGATCAGCACTGATGAGAATATCAAAGATACAGAACTGGCGGAATTAATTACCAAGTAGAAGTAGACCTCAATCATTTCGAATTTAATTTGGCATTGGGTGGGATAATCACAATTTTGATGCCTTTGAATAAAATGATGTGAAAATAATAATCAAATTTCGGCGTGAAGAATTCTGTAGTGAAAAGATAAAGGTGAATCAGTCGATTTTTTTTCTCTAATCATCAAATCCTTTACCTCCACCCAATGGAATTCTATCGAAACTCATACAAATGTTTATTCGAATGCATGGGAATGATTAATATTCTAGCACAATTCATGTTTCCACAATTGTAATGGCACATTGTAATGTTAAAAGAATTCCGTTGAGATCTGTTACATCAGAACATCAACGACTTGGTCTGGGATATGATATTAATGGACGATTGTACACGTAAACTGACACGCTGGAAAAAAAATGAAGGACAGTTGTACAAACTGAAGATCAGAATTTTCTCTGTTTCACTCGAGCTTCATAGTTACCTCGCTGTCACTCTTTGTGTCTTCCCATTGCTACTTATTGAATGCAGCAAAGACAGCCCATAAGACGGGATTGGCATTTGGCTTGGTAGCTTCAGCTTCAAAGTCCAGATCCAGCAATGTCCTCACTCGACGCATCGCCACCTCGTAATCGTCGTCTGAGAGCGGTGCAAATGCATTTTCTAACACATCAGCCGCATATGCTAAAATAACAAGTGCTAGTGTCCTTCTGTCCATGCGACCAGCATCGTTAACCCAACGACATAAAACTGCCTCTTGTATCTAAAAAAAAATCCTCATGTTTAGAAGATTACGCGACTCCTCTTTTATCGCCAATAGTTATAATTTCTGATACATCACGTATGGAGTTTTTCTCGTTTACTAATAAATTTGAAGAAGAATCACTTAGAGAATCTCTCCAAGAGAGATAACAAAATTACTTGGAAGACAGTAAACTCTAAAAAAATCTTTATCAAATTGAACAAAAACAATAATTAATTTGATGTGTCAGCAATGGCGAAAGAGGAGAGTAATTATAACTGAATGTACGAATGGAAATATACGTCCTCCTCCTCAATTCAAATATACATTTCGAATATTAGGTGACTGGTATAATTCTTTGAGGGTACTCGAATTGAGTCAAGTGACTTCCTTCACAGGCTTACGGCCACACAAATACTCGGCACTCAATTCGTTGCAGTTTCCAATGATAATAGATGCACATATTTGCCACACCGAGAGTAGTAAAGTGTTATTTACTCGATGTGCTCGACAAAATACAAGAACGTATTTTATATCATTATCAACAGGAACTCGACTATTCAAATATGGAGCACAACAATACTCGAATTAGGTAGATAAGATAGTGAGATGTCCTCTCTGCCTACAATTGAATGTCTACACACGAATCAACTCGAAAAAATCTAAACCTGAAATTAAACGAGCAGTGAAACCAACATGAAGATACCTTTTTAACGAGACGCGTCTTCGCCAAATTATCTGTCAACGGATGTGTGGTCATATCAAACAGCAGGAAGTTCTGTTTTTCAGTCGTGAGAACTCCCTTCTCCACTAAATTCTTAGCTAATCTCTCCCTAACATTTTTCAACTGGTACCGAAGCTTCAGTGGATTCCATGTCTCCCCTGTAACCCAATGAATCCCCGAAAAAAATCACAAAACCCAGAGTGGCAGAATTGGTGATATAATATCAAGTTGCCAAGTGTACAGACCACTGAGATACTCGATCCAACTTTGAACAGGCTCTGGTGGATCGTATTCCTTCAGGTGTTTGAGTGCTTCATCGAGAAGAACATCGCCAGTTGGTGCATCACTCTTGACCAATAATTTGCGTGAAAGGAGGCCCCTCTTACGCATACCAGCTTTTTCTAGCTCAACTCTTCCCCTCAGCCCGAGCTCAGCCAGAATACAGCCCCTGAGGCCTGAACTTATGCAGTCATTCCAGAACGATGTGTAGCCCTTTTGAGATAAAATAAATGCAATCCAAATTCAATCTTTCATGCCGATGATGAAAATGTTGGGCGAATAAAATGGACCCGATGAAACCGAGAAGAATCATCATCGCTAATATGTGTCAGTAGCCACTCACCTCTTTATCTTTGAGACCAAGCAGAAGTACCTCCTCCATAAGTGTCAATCGTGTTTCTTTGTCAGAATCCTCATCGACTGTTGGATTTGAATTGAGATCCTTCAACGAATTACTATCATTGTCACCACCGTATCCCGGTGATTGATCATTGTAGCCACTCTGATCAGGTGTTCCACCTTCCTGTCCCAATCCATTTCCACTATTGCTGTTAACAACTCTACGCCTTTGCACCAATCCGTCACTTCGATTCATCCTTTCTCTTTCAATAACTTAATATATTTATTACACCGGTTAACGAAAAATGTGAAAAGTGTGATCAAGTTAAGTCGAGTTGGCGTTTGCGGTTTTGGGGTATTTTTGTTACCACCAAGTCGGTACGTATAACGTTGAATAAACACGGTACTGTTGACGTTTACCCCAATACGACATATCTTTTTTCAAGATGGCCACACCGTACAATTCACTGCGCAAGCGCATTTGTCATTTCCGCAGTCTTTCTTCGAAATTCCCGATCGTTTTAAACTCTCGGCTTCCGCAATTTAGCGACAGATGGCGGTATTTGGAGCTTTAAAGAGGTTTTGGTCGATCATCATTCATCTAGTTCTTTACGAATATTTGTTTCATAAAATTACTAGCAAAAATTTGCTCGTGGTTTCGAGATTGGTTCTTGCAGAAGATTTTGTGGCCAAATTTGGAGAAACGGACAATTTGAATTACGAAATTATTCTGCGATATTTTTTTATTTTGGGAGAATTCTCGGAAACTCCACAATTCTTCTTACGGCAGTTTGAAGTAAATATCAACTGTTTGAAAGTGCAATCGTTATTGAGGTTTCCAATGTTTTTGTGTGAAAGTTATTCGGTTTAATAGGATGAGGAAATTCTATTTCGCGGTTGTTTGGTGAATTGAAACTCGTCTATCAATTACCTGTGCTATTAATTCTGTTTCGTGCAATGATTGTTATAAAAATGGACATTTTTTCATGATAGAATGAAAATTAAATTACTACAACTGCCGCAGATTCGAATCCTTAGAACATGTGGATTATTCTCCGAGGGATAAAATTGGCGATTGTCCGTCGGTATCGTCATTAAAAATTCCAGTGAAGAAGGTAAATCAGGCGTTTCCGTATATTTTGCATGAAGTTGAACCCTGAACTTCAGCAATTAAAAATTTCAATATCGGAAGAATTCTGCACGCGCTGTGGTGCGAATCGCGGTCAGACCCAGTCCATTTTCCCGGGAATAATCGACAGTTAACACGAACGGAACGGGAAATTCATGTTTATTATGCGGAGAATATTGCGGAGAAATTTTATTATAATTCTGAAATATTTTATCGTCGAATGGAAAATATTCCTCGTGCTATTCCAGGCACTCCGACAATTCCATCAAATTTCTGATTTTTTCTGTTGGCTTCGGCTGAATATTTGAAAATCTCATTACGCTCGAAAAAATTCCGACATTGCGTGAGAAATATCTATAAAAATTATTCGCTCATCGAATTGTCAAGGACCCATAATTTTTCAACAAATTTTCAAGTTTAACAGAGTTGAAGGTTTAGACATTCACGATGTCGATTTGCGAAATCGAGTGTTCCCGTATCTAAACTCTCAAGGGCATTTGTCTCATGAATAAATGGACGCGCGAGTGGCTTAATTCTCTCGTCCACCAGCTGAAATGACAGAGGAATCGAGAGTGGCGCATTACAATGTGCATCGACCAAAGCGAGACAATCGTGATTCGATATGCCGACCCCACCTCTTCTTCAGCTTCATATCTCTACAACAGCCGCTATCTCCTTGCTGTACTTCACTTACAGCATACGAATACCGTGAAAACGAAAAAAAAAGGAATAACCAAAAGATGAAAAAGTAGCGATAAATTTTTATTAGCCCACGACCATAAAGCACGAAATTACACCCCGACTTTTCGTAGCCAAAAGAAGTTGTTCGTAATGCTAACAGTGAAACGTAACTCATCTGAGACAATCTCGTTGACCACTTTGTATTCAATAATTTTAGAAAAATATATTGTCTTGAAAATTTCGTCTTCAAGAGTTTGATTACAGACTCCAGCGAATTTGGTTTTATTTTCGTGAGAGCGCGGGGGAATTTCCAATATTGTGAGGTGCAATTCAATTTGATTCCATCCAATTCATACAGTTTTATAAAATTTACATTGCTTACATTTATCCAGTGTTGTATTAAGATTTTTCACAAAACACATTCAGCGGAAAAAAATCCACCCTTTTCCTAAAATTTCTTATCATTGCAGTCTATTTCCAGGCCCGAAAAAACCTCAAAACAGGGCGGAAATTGTATTAATAATGAGTAACCCTGAAAACCTGAAGCAACTATCCCTCGAAATGATAACTGAAATTATCACCAACGAAACGATCCTTCAAATCACTTGGACAGTGACTTCTTATTCGATATCATCCACCCATGATTTAAACCCAAAATTTATGGTTCCCCACTCACTGTACCGTTAGAGATTTCCGGAAAAGAAGGCTTTTAATGACTCAAAGCTCAAGCTCTCCTCCTAAAATATTTACGGTTATGGCTTAATTGAGCGATTTTACGTACCAGTAGTATTTTTCAACCCAGAAGAAGACTGCGAAAAGGTGTAATAAAAAACTCGAGTGAGTTTTTCAGTGTCAGCTCGGCAGTACCCTCTCGCTTGTGCTCTTTTAAAACTTTTTAAAACGCTCGTGAAGATTGTGCGGGTGGAGGCCGGGGGGAAGACGAAATCGGGTCCCCCGTTGGAGCGGTGAACGGCGGAGCGGTCAGGGGGAAGAGGGAGTTGCACCGGTGGAAAGGTTGGAGAGACATTCAGTCGTTGAGGTACCTTCGCTCCAACCGCACATCGACTCAGTGTTTTTCTCCAAACTCACCCAATTTTCTCATCACCTGATTTTTTTAAATCGACAAAAGTGTATGGACCGTGCAAAACAAGCAAAACACCGATAAAAAATAGTAACAAGTCTGGCAGCAAGTAAACGGTTGAGGATTAAACTGACGACGATAAAGAGTACAATTGTACAATTGTACAGCTTCACTGAGCTACCAGCGACGGAATCCAATACGAATAAACATGACGTCGATTCGTTGACATCATAAATTCAGGTGTCAGGTGAGTGTTTAATTGGTGGATTTTCGTTGAAAATTTGTTCACGCATTGTTGTGTGTTTAGTTGAATGTTGAGGAGGATTAATCATTATATCACGTTTAATTGATCGTCAGACGATCAAGAAAGGCACAATGTAATTTGTGCATGGGAAGAAAAAATGGTATAATATAACCGAAGCAAGCAGACTATTCTTCATCCAGTCAATTGCTGGGCTTCAGACAACTTCCCTTCCCTCCCAATCCGCCTTATAATCCCATTCTCTCTTTCCTCTTTTTGTCTTTATTCATGCTCTTATTTTCTTACTCTCCCCTCTTGTTCTTTCGGTATCATCTTTTAAACTCCAGTGGATCATGCATCACACGTAATCCCACAAAAGGGAAATCACGGGAACAATGTGCAATCATAATTAATAATTAGAAACAGATGATACAATGCTCTGTTACAGTGCGACTTCACAGAGTTTAATAACAGTGACATTAAATCCGGAAGGTCTTACAACGGAGGTGATAAAATTTACACATCCAAATTTGAGGTCGGGCCTCCTTAAAAAACTCTTTTTTCTCTCCTTCGGAATACCAGATCGAATGAGTACACTTTTTCAGGCATATTGTTGCATGCACATAAATCATATCGTTGTTTTTTCCCGGGTTCCGAGATTCATGGGTTTGTGAAAATTTGTACATGCTGTGATTGAACGGAGTCTCGTTAAATTTTGGAAGATCGTTTAATACTCCCGTGATGAGGGGCCATTACAATTTCGAATTTTTACCCTCAAGAGAAATTTTGAGCAACAAAATTCTCGTAAAAATTTCTTTTTCGACTCCTCATGGAGGATAAAATCTAAAAACTCTGTGGGGAATCGCTTTCCGAATTGTTATCTCCCCTCAATTTGTTTGATTTTAATCAATTCCATTGGTAGACATAATTTTATCAACAATTTCTCCAATAACTTCGGGTGATTTAACCATGAAAATCATTAAAAAATAGGAGAAGTTTAGCGAAAATTATTCGTTGATGGAAAGGTGAGGTGAAATTTTCCATAGGACTTTCTCAGCATTATTCATTGATTGTCACTATTATCACGTACGTTGCCACCAAGTGGACATTCCCTCTCTCTTTTCAATGCTGTGGACCCATCCCCTCATTATCCTCATTGCTGCACTCGCTAACTGCCAGTAATGCAGCATACCCTCGGTGCATTACCTCCACATATTACTCATACTCGAGAGAAAGAAAAATCCCAAGTCACCGAAGATAATGAAGAGGAGAAATAACACGTTATACGTAAGTCGCTAAACAATCGCGCAGCCTCCGATAAACACAGAGGCGCGTGTGTATGGGAATATCCCAAGAACAAACATCTGGTTTCGTCATTTCTCCTCCCATCGCCCCAGAGATAACAGCGATAAGACACTTCGTGCCATTCTCTTCAGTGTTCATCCTTCCTGATAAGGCTTTCTGCACTCATCAAGAGTATCCGAAATAAAACATCCACAGGGGCAAAATCCAGGAAACAAATACTACTATTGATGTGGAAAATTTATTGTTGATTTTAAGAGTTTATTATTCGAGAACAACTTATCTTCGTCGAAAAAAACACCTTCTGATTGATTTTTTTAATAAAACAAAATGGATGATTTTTCAAAAATCTGTAAAATCGATTGATTATTGCCTCAATTTTTAACGTTATGAAATCTTTACACAGATTTATTGCGGGATAAATTCGTGAATTGCCACTACGCTGCACGATTACCATCCGAGTGGAAAATTAACTCAGGTCTAGATCAAGTTCGGATCAAGTTCTACTTGATGTGGGCTCAGGTACTGATCCTAACACTTGGTCAGGACTTGACCAGGCATGTAACGCCTTGACTCGATCCGGATTTGATCAGGCATGCCGAATCAGGGTTTGATCAAGATTAAGACGGATTAGTCCTTGATAACCGAAATTAAAGATATTCATCAATGATAATGAATTTGAAATAAAAAGTTAATCATTTTTTCACATTATATTACCTCATTCAATACTCGGGATCGAATCGGGGACCTTACGAGTACTAATCCTATGCCCTAACCACTAGACTATCGCGTTATTATTATTGAGTGAACTGTTTTGCTTATACGATGTATATTGGAGATATTGGTCAAAGGTCTTATCAAGTTCTGCCTGATCAGTTGACACTGACCACTGCCATATCAAGTTTTGATGAAACCTCAGGCTCGCTTGACATAATTTCCACTCCGGTAAGCGTCAAGGCAAATTTTATTAAAAATTTCTCTCCGTGTGTGCACCTCTGAATGCCTTTTATGTTGCATAGACTTGCGTAGGCTCGAAATGACCTTTCAGTCACGCCAATAGATTTAATTCAAGACCGAGGTCAAGGGGTTCCACGTGTTTTCCTTAAAAAAAAAACCTAGTGTTTTTACCGTGTTTCTCGAAACACTCCCTGACCACTGGGTCGATCATTACTCGTATTAGACGAATCGAGTTGGCATAACGGTGGACTTCCACCAAGTATTACTCTACGATTCAGCCTGAAAAATAAACTGGGCCACTGTAGGAAATCTAGAATCTCATGTTAATAACCCTTGCTCTACCAAAGTCACCAAAGTCAATAATTTCTCCATAATTTATGTAATTTTCTCGAAAATTGGGAGTTTTCAAACTGGAAATCAATGAAGAAACGGTGGAAACATAGATCACATGATGCATCTACATCTCCACCGATCGGACAACTCTCGTATTTTTTAATCCACGGCAGAGTGAAAGTATCTACATCGTGATACCGAACCTCCCGAAGACGGTCGATCGGTCAGCGTTACGCCCGGATTCCACAATTATTGCCAGCCCGTGTAGAACACGCCCCGAAGGGTTTTTTGTCTCCATGCCTAGGTTCCAATACAAATATCGAATACAATCTGTGAGTAAGATATTATTATGTTCCCGCAAATAAACCATCGGAGGAGCTGCGGGCAGAAGAGAGAGAGAAAGAGAGAGACGGCAGAAACGAAGGTAAAACGAAAAACATGGAATTATTGTTGAAGTTTAAGTAGCGCGTGGAGTGAAAGTCCGAATGGAGCGAGCAACTAGTATACCAAACGCCATTACAAAATAATTAAAGGATTGTAAATAATCCGGTTTATCAATGAATAAAAAGGTGAAAAATTGACAACAAGAATTACGTGAGTGTCAGTTGTACATTTTTCTGGGATACGAGATAAAAACATGTGTGACATACGTCTTCCCCTGGGGTTCGATACGCCTCGATGGGTTTTTAACAGTGTCAAAGCAACACACGTTTCAACCGCTCAAATGGTTAACCACGCGGTGTCATGAAACTGCGGTGGCATATGGAGGCACACACGGTGAAAAGGTACGGAAAAAACATCGAAAAATAAAAATAAAAATGATGAACAGGTATGTTTATCGTTAACTCCCGGACATTGACCGGGATACAATGCCACCAGTGTAACCCTTGTCGGGATATTGCGAAAAAGTAAAGGGCGAAGTACTTTGTATTCGCAATACGCATCCGTCCTTGTCCTTGTTGGTGGAGATATCTCGTCTGGGTCATTTCGACCTTAAATAGTCATACAGCTGTCGAGGTAACGAGTAAGGTTGTACGATGATATGGGCTCCAGGAAGAGGTGTAGATCGATGTTAGTAGGAAATACTTGAGCGAGAGCAATCGGGCGTGGACTGACCTCGATTGCCTCGCGGCTTTCGCGGAATAAGCACCGGAGTCATTTACAATCATTTCTACGACACACATTCCATTCATTTGAAATTTATATTGAATATTTATTCGGATTTTTATGAATAATTGAGGATTTTCCTGACGTGCGAAAAACCGTCTGGCGGATAAATATTGATAATTCATTTATTTCCAAAAAAAAACTTTCAGATTTTTCAAAATATATTTATTCAAGTGAATATATTATATATATTCGAATGTAATATGGAACATATATAATATATAAAAATAAAAAAATGCAATTATATACATAATTTTTTTTTCTAATCAGTCACATGAAGAACGAATAAAAGGAAAACTTTTCTCGTCAGTTGAAACACTTGATATATATTCGTATTTGCATGAGATATTGATTAGCTTCATTATTGTATTTTAATCTCCATGATGTAATAAAAGAGAAACATTTCCGGTTAGCATCACCCGTGGTCCCACGGCACTCGGGGTTACGGCTAGTTAGTTCAATAATTGAAGTTCCGCTGTGAGAAGTTCACGTCGAGTGATAATAATCGTAATAGAATAGTCTCAGATTTATCGTCATCAGTCGACATCTTCCGTATTGGTGATACACCTGGCACAACCGCGTAAGAAAAACGGCCCCGGGGCTGGTCACACTTGTGATGTAAGACTGCTTGACCAAGAGAGCCTGAGTCGCCGCAAATTTCCACGATGGGAAAAAGAAATACTGAAGGAGAATGGAGGAAAAAAAAAACCACTGTCTCCCGCGTCTCGATTATACGTCGAGGCCTGAAGTGGTTAGACCAGAAACCCGAGAATAACACTGCTATCTAAAGCCTAGCTAAGAATCTCCACAAAATGGCCGATATTCTGAAAGAGCTGATCGTGATTGTTATCTGCACACGCGATCGTTCATTGGACTTCCGGTGTCATCTGGGAGCTCGAGGAACTCTGCTCTAATCGGCGTGAAACCTTGAGTTATAAAAAACATCAAAATCCACACTTTTTTGTAGATATTATCCACCATTTCTTGGTCAGCCATGAACTCAATAATTCTACACACATTTGCGTCAAGAAATCACACTCTGCACGTAATTAATCCATTGCACAAATTCTAAATTCAATTACCCATTTGGCGTGATGTAATTAGTGAAAAATGTTTTAATAAACATATCCACAATAGGCGCTAATTCCATATATTTTTTTATTCTATTTGTATAACAAGATGTGTTTTTCGAAATACTAACAATAATTGTTTTTTGCGTGAATTTATTATTTTGTTTTGTGAAGAAT